GACATGGCTATTTTTTACCGACAATGAAACAAACAAACATACTATTGAAGATGCCCTTATTCATTTCTTCTCACCCGTGACCCGAGAGCCAAGTCAGAATAAGAGCAAGGCTAATAACATAGCCAACAACTGATTATATAAGACCGCATTGTCATTAAGAGTTAGCACAATTAACCACTGATCCAATTGGGTTGGCTCTAAGATTGCCTACTAGGTTAATCATCTTTCAAACGTGCATCATCGCTTTGTGGACGCCTCCTCCCCCAAGATAAGGCTTGGTTTCTCTGTCTCATGTCGGCTCCGCCGCCGGTATGCCTCGTCTCCAGTGGCCTTAGGCCATGGCGGCGCGGTGAATCCCGGTGAAGGGCTTGTCTTTAGATGTTCCTTTGAGTTTTGTTAAGGGTTTGTGCCTGCTCAGGAAGCCAAGACGACGACGGCTCCTTGAAGATGGAATAAAGTTCTCCCTGGCTAGTCTCCGTCCTGGTGCTGCATCTAGCATTGTCGGTGGGCCTGTGGAGGTGTGTCTCCGACCGATCTGTCTTTGATGGATTTGCTCGTATCTTGTCGTAGTTCGTCTACGTTCGTGTGTCTTCAGGTTGGATCATTCCGATCTACGCTACTCTTCAACGGCGCCGGCTATTGTTCTAGTGCGCTTGTCCTATGGGGCCTTAGCATGACGACTTCTCGGTTGTCTACTACAACAAGTTTTGTTCGGCTCCGACGAGGGAGGGACGATGACATCGGCTAGCTCGCTTTATTGCTTGCATTCATCGATAGGTAGTCTACGGCTCGATGTAATTTTTTATTATTTTTAGTGTTTGTTGTACTGTCATGATTGAAGATTAATAGATTGATAGTTTTCCCAAAAATAAATGTTAGTCATCTTTTCTCTCATTTACCCTTTTTACATAAGGACACTCATGAATAAGAGCCCACCTCTCTTTTTTCTTCATCGTCTCTCTCCTCTACACTATCAAAATCAAAGTGCTACGAAAACAATCTTATAACCCACTCTTAATATTGTAGTACTTGCTCGATCTCTAACAACGTATAGACACCGCACACGTTTTCCGGAGCTCGATCCATCGATCCCAGAGGCCTGAGAGGGTGTTTGTTTCCAGGGACTTAAAAAAGTCCCTATAAGTCCCACCTAAACCAAACACAAGGAATTTATTGGAACTTATTATGGTGATTTGGGACTTATCAAATAAGACTCTCAGGAAGGAGCTTATTGGGACTTATTCGCTCCAGGCTCGTTCCCCGCCCGCCCCGTCGCCCGCCCCGCCTCTTGCCCCGTC